AACACTTGTTGGGAGCTGGGACGAAAGGAACCAGCTCGGACAGCGTTTGCATTCGAACTGCTTTGATCGCTCGCGCTGCAGAGGCAGCTGAACCTCGTCGTTGTCGTTCATGGCGTAGGCTGGTTTTGAGTGTCGCTACAAGGCTCCCCCCTGTGGCGCCGTGGGCCCTGGAAGGGTGCATGTGATGTGCTTGGTTCTTGTTGCAGGCGCCGAAGGTGGTGACGGGGCCGGGGCAGTTGCAGGGGATGCAGGAGATATGGCTTCTAGGTAGGCCCGCTTGACACGGTCGGTCGTGACTATGTCACGACGGCCGTTTATGTCTAGTGTAAAGGTCTTGGCTTGCCGATCCAGCACTCTGAACGGGCCGTCGTAGGCCGGTTCCAATGGTTGACGGACCAGGTCGCGACGTAAGAAAACACGCGAGCATGTCTCAAGGTCTTGGCTCACGAATACGTCTCGATGGCTCCGTTGAGCTGGAAGCACAGGCCGGAGGAGACGAAAGGTTTTTCGTAAGTCGTCGACGTAGCCGGTGGGGTCTTCTCTTGACTCGGAGGGAAACGAAGAGAAGAATTCGCCAGGTAGGCGCAGTGGTGTGCCGTAGACTAACTCGGCTGTAGAACAGCCAAGATCTGTCTTGAGCGCCGAGCGAAGGCCTAGGAGAATGAGGGGAAGGTGGTCGGCCCAACGTTCCCGCGGCTCGTAGGTGGCAAGAGCTGCCTTCAACTGGCGGTGCAGCCGTTCCACCATGCCGTTAGCCGAGGGATGATAGGAGATGGTGTGAATGTGTCGGACAACCAGGACGGTGACGAAGGCAGCAAAAAGGGAGGATTGAAATTGCCGTCTCCTGTCGGTGGTGACTACAGCAGGGCAGCCGAAACGGGACACCCAGCCGTCGATGAAGGCTGTAGCGACTGTCTTTGCTGTCATGTCAGGGACGGGGAATGCCTCGGGCCATCGGGTGAATCTGTCTACACAGGTCAGCAAATAGCGGGCTCCCCGTGATGATGGAAGGGGTCCCACTAAGTCTATGTGGACGTGTGCAAACCTGGAGTCCGGTGGTCGGAAGGGTGAGAGGGGGGTGATTGTGTGTCGCGTGATCTCTACGCGTTGGCACTGCATGCACTTTCGTGCCCAGCAATGGACATCCGCGTTCATGCTGGACCAGAAAAAACGAGCAGTTATTAATTTCTGTGAAGTACGGATTCCTGGGTGGCTCTTGTTCTGCAGGTTGTTGAAAAGAGCGCGACGAAATGCTGGTGGTACGAATGGTCGGGACACACCGGTTGTCGTCTCGCAGGTAACTATTGTTAAAGAAAAGGGCAGAGGAACGTCAGCAAACTTCAGTGATCCAGGAGCGGCACGCAAGCGTTGCAGCTCGGGATCGTTTGCTTGAGCAGTTGCCAGCTCCTCCCAGTTCACCGGATCTGCTGAAGAAATAGCACTGACGCGGGAGAGTGCGTCCGCAGCAGTGTTTTCATGGCCTTTGACATGGCGGATATCGACGGTAAACTCTGATATAAAGCAGAGGTGCCGGATGTCACGTGCTGTGTGGTCGCTGTGGTTTCGTTGGAATGCGAACGTCAAGGGCTTATGATCTGTAAGAACATGGAAGTTCCGGCCCTCGAGGAAGTGGCGAAAGTGTTTGATGGAGAGGTACACTGCCAGAAGTTCGCGTGCGAAAGTACTGTATTTCTGTTCTGGGTTCTTGATCTTGTGGGAGAAAAATCCGAGAGGCTGCAGCCATTGACATTCTACTGAAGAACCGCACCGACCGCTACGCTTGATGCGTCGGTGGCGAGTCGTAGCTCTGCGTTTGGAACGGGGTGAATGAGCATTGCAGCGTCAGCGAGCGCCTTTTTCGTTGAAGAAAAAGCAGACGCTGCATCTTCGTTCCACTCAACAGGCACAGAGCGTTCTTTCTTGGTGGCGAGAAGATCCGTCAACGGCTTGATCAGTTGCGCACAACTCGGTAGGAAACGGCGATGAAAATTTAGGAGACCTAGAAATTCGCGCAGTTTCTTCAGAGATGTTGGCTGCGGAAAGTCTCGAATGGCCGTAACTTTTGCATCTAAGGGTTTGATGCCTTGAGGTGTTACCTGATGCCCCAGAAATTCGATGGTCGTCACGCCGAAGGTGCACTCGTTCTGGTTGAGGACCAACCCGTAGTCATCGAGGCGGGTAAAAAGAGCGCGCAGGTGCTCCTCAGGCTCGGCCTCTGACGTGCTAGCGACCAAGAGATCGTCGAGGTAAGCAAAGACGAAGTCTAGACCTCGGGTGACCTCGTTGATGGTACGTTGAAATGTCTGGGCGGCATTCCGCAAACCGAACGGCATCCTCACATACTCAAAGAGGCCAAATGGTGTAGTGACGGTGGTTTTTGGTATGTCGGCAGGCTCAACCGGAATCTGGTGGTATGCCTTCACCAAGTCGATCTTAGAGAATATCTGGCAACCAGCCAGATTCGTTGTGAAGTCCTGTATGTGGGGTAGCGGGTAGCGGTCAGGCTGGGTGTTGGCATTGAGTGCGCGGTAATCGCCACATGGTCTCCAGTCACCTGGGTCTCTCTTGGGGACCATGTGCAGTGGGGAGGCCCACTTGCTCGATGATGGACGAAAAATGTCAAGTTCGAGCGTATGCTCAAACTCACGACGAGCAATGGCCAGGCGTTCTCCAGACAGCCGTCGAGGACGGGCGAAACCAGGGGGCCCAGAGGTGACAATGTGGTGAGTAATGGTGTCCTTCACCGGTGACTTCCTTGTGTGTGGCCTCGTAAGGTTCGGAAAATTCGCGAGAATTTTCTCATGGGCCATTGATGGTGAAAACGCTGTTGTCGTGTTGCGTGGTCCTGTTGCCGTGGTCGTAGAGAGCACGCCATTCACGGAGAGGTGTGTCGTCAGGTCGATGAGGCGTCGTGAATGAATGTCGACAGTCAATTTATAGAAGTTGAGAAAGTCCGCTCCCAGGATAGCCTGCTTGATGTCGGCGACGACGAACAGCCACCGGAATGTGCGGCACAGTCCAAGGTTGATTGTGAGGGACCGCTGACCGTAGGTGGCGATAGGTGAGTTGTTGATCGCTTGGCCTGGGAGGTTTTTTCTGATTGCGATGTCGGTTTTAAAGAGAGGCCGGTAGAACGCTGACCTCGGCTCCTGTGTCAAGAAGAAAGCGATGGCCAGCTACCTTGTCAACGACATAAAAGAGGCGGCTTTCCTGTCTACCGGTATCACCTGCCGCCGCCAGAGTCCGGTCTTCTAGTTTTCCGCCGAAGCACAGGGTTGGGTGCACTTGCGGGCACGGTTGCCGAAGGTACGGTGGTACCAACACCTGCCCGAGTCAGAGTCGACCTGACCGCTGTTGGAGGAGGTGGTGCGCTCTACTGAACGTGAGTGAGAGCGTGGGCGCCGGTGGGAGTGGGACCGTTGTTGGCGACGTCGTGATAAGGGTGCGAGGGTGGCAAGCTGCCGACTCAGGGCCTCGATACGGTCCTCAAGGCGCGACAGTCTAGAGTCTTCTGATGTTGTTGCGGGCGTTCTATTGACGACAGCGCTGATGCCAGCGGCCCGCGAGTAGTCGGCGACGCGGTCGGCAAGCTCAACGAGCTTGTCGAGCGACATGTCTTCCGCGGCCGCCAGAACCGGGACCATGGTCGATGGGAGCCGTTGTAAAAACAACTCACGCAGGAGGTAGTTGTTGGGGTCTTGGTTCTGGGTTCCCAGCAGCTCACGGATTCGATGGAGAAGCTGGGACGGTCGTCTGTCACCGAGCTCCTCGGTGTTAAGGAGTTGCTGAAGCCTGCTGCGCTCCGACTCGGTCTTGCGGTCAAGAATGGCGGCCTTCAGTTGGTCGAAGGGGCTGACCGGATCCGGAGTGGCCAGAATGTCGGCTAGCTCCTCAGCGACGTCGGCTGGCAAGGAGGACACGGTGTGAAGGTACCGCGTCTTCTGGCTGGTGATGTGCCGGAGACGGAAGTGGGCCTCAACTTGCATGAGCCATACGATCGGATTTTTCGGCCAAAGAGGTGGCAGCCGAAAATTCGGGATCAGTGCCAAGGGTGAATGAAGGGCGTCACCGTCAGGAGCGTTGGACGCGCCGGCATCCATCGGAGCAGCAGACCTTGAAGGAGCGAGTTCGATTCCGGGTCACCAAATCTGTAGGAGCTGGATTGAGAGCAACCTGTACAGACAGCGGTTGGATTCGAACTGCTTTAATCGCTCGCGCTGCAGAGGCAGCTGAACCTCGTCGTTGTCGTTAGCGACACTCAAAGCCAGCGTAGGCTGGCTTTGAGTGTCGCTACACACTTCTTTCCGCAGCAACAAAACATAAGGAAATGGGGAAAAAAGCATACCAGTTTTTTTATATTACAGTATTGCTAAGAGGCCGTAATGTAGTGTTTGTGTTGCTCTTAGCATTTTGATAGTTCCCCGGCTTACTGTCTGGCCAGTGATAATCGCCTGTGCAGAACTTTGGATATTTGGGACCACCTGAAGATTGCCTTCTCCTACTTTCGCGTTGAGCCAAGACAAACTGAGAAGGCGAGGCCAGTGAATGACGTCATTTTAGAGGACATCCAAGCTACTACAAGCGGTTAACACGTTGAATCTCGACAAGAATATGGCACGAAGTGCCAGACGCCTCTATCTTGGCACCGCAGAGCTCCAGCATTCGCCTCTATGTGGCACGCCGTCAACGCGTCATTGAGGCGAAATAGGCGGTATTACCGAGATCCACTGGTGATGACTTCAGAAGAGCAACGGTGAAAGCCTCAACTTCACCGTGGTATTCACTTATCTAACCCCACATATAGACTGGTCTATACTCCATTCAGCCTTATTATGTGACACATTAGTGTTTAAGAGCCTATGTTAGCCAATCAAGTGCCCCACACGCATAACACGGCCTCATGCTTTGCGCGTTGCTTTGTTTTACAGGAAGGTCACGTGACACAACCTGAGCTATGCATGGGTTCTGGTGGCTTGTAATGTCTGCCACACGCGTCTTACCGTCAGTTTGAGCGTCTTGGCTCGCGCACGCGACAGCACAGACTCTGCCCGAGTACAGCGCCGCAGCGTCGTCGCCCCGTGGCCACTGTCCTTAGCCGGCGTCACCGCGATGGCGTCGGATGCCGCCCACACGGCCCTCAGCAGGCTCAGATAAAAGGCGGAGATGAGCAGGCCTGGCACGACCAGGATGTAGAGTGTGAGCCAGCTGAAGTAGAGCTGCCGCTGCCAGTGGTGCGTGTAGCCCACGCTCAGGCATTCCAGGTGGGGCCGACCGGACGCCGTCACGCCCGTCTGAACCTGGGAACCATCGCCGTACTGGACGTCATTTCAGGGTCATGCGTGTGTTTGCTTTGCTCTCGTTAATGTTTTATGAAATAAGTTATATGATAATCAACTATCAAGGGGTCCTCAGAGCAGCTTTGGAAACGCGAAACATTAAATGCCGCACAGCGTGCACTTCTATACCCCCACTATTCTTGGGAGAAGAGCGTGTTGGTTTAAGTCGTGGATGAAGAAAGAATAAAGCAATTAAACAGGGACAACACAACCACATCTTTCAACTAGCAACAGACGAGTAAACTTTCAACAGCGAGCAGCCGACTATATCCAGGAGGAGAAGGGGGGAGAAGGGAAGATAAGAAACGCGAAGTGCAAGTCAGACTGGTGGGCTTATCTCGGGTTTTAGAAATTCAACCTCAGGCTTCGTCAGCAGGAGGGAAGGGTTTGACACGTTCTTTTTTGCTGTAGTCATGGCGAATAATTCTGATTTCCCTGCCGAATCTGTTGTCGTGCCCTTCCCCCCCCCCCCCCCCCCCCCCCCAGGATTTTTGTTTCATCAAAGAGGGGATGACAACTCAAACACGAACGGGCATGTATGAGTATGGAATGATAAGAATCTGGAGAGGCCTTAGAAACTTCGTTGTGAAGTCGGCGGAGCCTGTGATTGGTGCATCTGCCAGTCTGTCCGATGTATTGATGGCCGCAGCTCAAGGGGATGGAGTAAACTTTCTTCTCTTTGCATGGAATGAATTTCTTTTCGTGTTTAACAGTGCAGCCAATCGGAATCCGGTTGTTCACTTGTTGACAGATTTGTTTAAGACGCATGCGGCACGAGAAGAGAACATTCGTGTGGAACTTTGAGGCATTGGATTTTATCCGGTGGGCTGAATTGTGTACGTAAGGAATGACGGCGAATCGGGCATTCTTTTTTGTGGCTAGTGACTGGCGATCAGGCCCGCGAATCAGTTTTTCCATTACTGATCGAAGAAGGTCGACGGGGAACTTTGCCCTGACGAGCCTCATGTGCTGCAATTTGAAGCTATCTTCTGAAAGATGACAGCAAGACTTCGTGAAGGATGAAGAAAACAACGATTTGATGATACCGTGTTTTACCGACTTCGAATGGGCGCTAGAAAACGGTAGGACAGGTTCAGTTGACCTTTGTTGAAAGGCCCAGCAGAGTCCAGTGGCACTGACATGAAGCCGCAAATCTAGGTACTGAAGACCTTCATTCGAAAATTCTTCCTTCGTGAATGTAAGGCCTGACGAACAAGCGGAGAAACGGTTGTAATGCTATCTGGAGAAGTTCGAGCAAGATTAATGATTAGGTAATTGTCTGCATATCTGAAAACATGGCAGCCAGGTGCGGAGATGTTCAGTTGTGCTTTTATAGCCCTGTCAACAAATAAAAGAAATACTTCGCTGAGAACAGGGGCGAGGCATGAACGGATGCATACTCTTTTTTTTGGCGGTAGATCATTCTCTCATGTCCACCTTAATTAAACTTGCTTGCTGCCACTCTGTTGAAAGTACGAAATCATTCACAGTGTGCTCTGCAGTAAATGAAACGTGAAATTAGTTTTGTTTGGTTAGTGAGCATGTACAGTCTCCGGCGATATGAAAGACCCACTGGGAGCGCGTGGCCGAGGCGGTGGCTGGCGGGGGCGCTACGAGCGCTCCGGGAAGTTCCGTTCTGCTTCGAGGGGAGGACGCTCACTCGCGACTCAGCTAAAGCGCGCGCTTATCAGTTTGTGCTGAGCCCCGAGTGAGCGTCCTCCCCTCGAAGCAGAATGGAATTGCCCGGAGCGCTCGTAGCGCCCCCGCCAGCCACTGCCTCGGCCACGCGCTCCCAGTGGGTCTTTCATATCGCCGGAGACTGTACATGTAGTTGTTTATCACAGCTTGGGAGAGCTCTATCACAGGTTCCAATAAGTGATCACATTTTAATAGCCATATGAGCTCTGACTGTAGCTCGAGGAACTCTTCTTCAAACATTATTGGGCCATGTGGGTTATTGAACATTATCAACCACCCTTCAAGAATAACAAACACCTCATGTTCTTTGCTTCATTTGCTCATGATCAACTACGAGGAATCGGTGATAACATCAGGGGTTCTCTCAACTGATATAAGCAATCATCATCCCATTTATTTGTGCTTGCAAATGAACCCTCCCAGAAAAACCGCATTTGCTCTTTCCCGGTTGTTAAAGTTTAGTCTATCACTCCTGATAAGTTCGGGAAGAAATTGAAAGTACATCTTGACAAAAATTTTGTCAAAAAATTCAGTTAATTCCGCATAAATTTATTTTTAGATGCATTTATTGTGATCCATACGAAACGTTTCACTTGTTTAAAACTCAAAGCCTCAAAAAAATCACGTAGGTCTTGGATCACACCTAGACTACTGTCAAGGATACGGAATAAGATTAATGTATATCAACCACTTTTACGAACAAGAGAAGTGAGTAAGCCTGCAGCCTTTAAAAAGTACTGAACTAAGCTAACCAGTCATCTAAGGACTGCTAAGCGTGACTACTACAACGGGTTTTTTGATCCATTAGAAACTAAGAAACCAAATGCTATGTGAAAGAGAATACGGTCATTTCTAAACCATAAGCCACCCCAAAGCATGCCTCATGAAATCAGCGTAAACTACGTTAAAGTAATGGAGGTCCCCATGGCAAATCCGTTTAATATTTTTTTGGGTGTAAATGTTGGGTCATCTACTTGTGTGCCATGTTCCTGTATAAATAAAGCTTTAGAGTTTATGCCGCTGTCGCGTACAAATACAAATTTTTTGAACATGATTGTACGCCTGAGACTGGTGCAGAAAACATAAATTTTTTGTTCCCCACCGATAAGTCGGAAGTGTGCTCAACTATTATGAATCTTAAAAATAGTAAAATCATTGACGCCTAAAACATGCAAATAAGACCTATAAAATACGTTATTGATATACCTACACAATATTTAACATATATATCTAACCTTGCATTTGAAACTGGCGTTTTTTCACTTGAAAATGCAGGTGTCAGAAGTTAGTATCCTACACAAAGGCGGGGATACGCTCTGCATGAGCAACTATAGGCAAACTTCCATTATTCTTGCCTTTTCCAAGCCACCCAAGAAACTTTTTCTTCAAAGGCCTCTAACGTTTCTTGATAAACAATCTTTTTTCTAATTCACAATTTGGATTTCCTAAGCTTCGCTCTACTAAAATAGCGTTATTGAAACAAAAAAAGACTAATTGTAAAGGCATTTGACGACAAAAATAGAACTTTAGACGTTTTTCTTGATTACTCAAAGGTGTTCGGTTCCATCAAATCATAACATTTTACTGAAAAACTTGCTCTTTTTTTTTTGGGGGGGGGGGGGGGGGGGGGGATAAGAGGCATAGCGCTTGATATTTTCAAATCCTCCTTACGAAATAGAAATCAGTACGTGTCCTTTTCAAAATCTCTTTCAGATAGGCTAGCCATATCCTCGGGAGTTCCTCAGGGCAGCATTTTAGGCCCATTGTTATTTATTCTTTACATTACCGACATCGTAAACGTGGCTCAAAACAGTGGTGTAAAACTGATCATTTACGCGGATGATACGAGTCTTTTTTCTTTCCGTGACTACGTTACTACTTCTATTGCCACAATTCAAGAATCGCTAAAGAAGATTACAGCCTCGACACTCAACAACAAATTAACGTTAAACAGTAAAACTACCAAAGCCATTCTTTTTAGACCTTGAAATTAAAAGGATAAATGTTCCACTTTACCTTACAATAAACAAATGTAATTCGTAAATTAATTTAAAATACAGGGTGTGTTCTTTTCAAATTATATGAGCCGGAATGCCCATAGATCATGTTCAATCAATGTTATCTAAAAGCGTTGGGCTAATAACAAAATTTAAAAATAAACTTCCGCCTCATATCAACAGAACTGTTTAGAATTCGTTAGTTTGTTTAAATTTGAAATACTACAACCTTATTTGGGGCACCACGACCATAACAAACCTTACAAAGTTGCGCCTTTTACAAAAAACGCCAAGGCGTGCAATTTCTCGTGTTCCATTCCTTCATCCTACAACAGCATTATTTAAAGCCCTAAACGTAAAAACAAGTCAACAAATATATGCGTTCAAACTTTTAGCAACGTATCGTAGGGCTCTTCAGAATAACAATGTTCAATTAATTCAATTAGCTAACCTGAAACATCGCGTCATCATGCGCAACC